AGATCATGATACATATACTTTAACATTTCTTTTTATACTGTTTATTTGTATTTGTAATTGCTTCATATATGGGTTTTCTATTTCTAGCAATGTTTTAATGTCCTTGAAGACAGTTTGGAGAAATACAAAGAAGACGACGTGTCCCCTGCCTTATTGTAGCTTAATATAGAGTATAGACCTGAAGAGAAAGATATCTCCAAATCCATTATAAGAGGTCTGATGGTGGCTGGGTGTAGTGGCTCATGCCTATAATCCTAGCAATTTAGGAGGCAGAGGTAGGAGGATCACTTATGCCTAGGAGTTCAAGAACAGCCTGGATAACATAGTGAGACCTTGTTTCTACAACATATTTTAAAAGATAAAACAATTAGCCCAACATAGTGGTGGTGTGTGCCTGTAGTCCCAACTACTCAGGAGGCTGAGATGGGAGGATCACTTGAGCCCAGAAGTTTGAGATTACAGTGAGCTATGATGGCGCCACTGCACTCCAGCCTGGATGACAAAGGTCTGATAGAAGGAAGTCTATGGGGATACCGAAGCAACACAAAGGAGGAGATGGTCTCTTCTACCTGTGGAGACTGGAGTAAGTGTGTGGGAGCAGAAGAGAAAATACTCCAGGCAACAAGAAGGCACTGGAGGTACGAAACAGCCAGGTGTGGTGCATAGAGGCAAAACAACTAAGATTGGTTGGATCATGCATTAAAATGGCAGGGCTGGGGGTTAAAGAGAAGAGTCTAGAGAGAGAGAGGTGGCAAGAAGGCAGGAAATGGGTTTCTTTAGTGCTTACTGAGTTGAATTTTATACATTTCTATGCCATCAAATGCTTTTTATCAGGGAAGCAATATAATCCAAAACAAAGAATTTTGATTAAGGCTGTATATGGTGGGGATATTATTTGGAAGATGTTTGGGTAGCAGACAGGCGGGCAGTTGAGAGACTCTTGCAGTTGTCCTGGCAAGAGATGATGAAGGCCTGGATTAGATGAGGAGCAGTGGGAATGGAAGGTAGTCCGTACAGTCAAACTCAGTGTATTGTTCTACTGTCAACTACCTTGAATACTTCTTGTGGGCAGAAGTCATTTCATATTTTCAGTTAAAGTCACAGCTCAATTCCAAGCACATGAATACCCCTTTTAAATTCCCCCTTTTTAGTGCATTTACTAAAAAAATTCTGCAAAGAATCTGAGTGGGCATGACTTCAAAGCATACAAATGTTTTTCCATTTGAACTGCTCTATGGTAGGAAGTGAAATTTAGCCCTGTTTCCTGCAATATCCCCATGTGGGCAGAATTACTATCGTCATTATTTGGTATTGGAAGCAATGATTCACAGATGAAAATAACCTTGGAATTAGAAAGAAAAATCAGGAGGAAAATCAGAAGTATTACCAAAATAACTTTTTCTTCTAGCAGGACTCTGGCTATTTATGTTTTCTTATAAGTAAAACTGAAATATAGTAGCAAGTGTTAAAGCAATTTAAGTGTTTTGAGCTCTTAACCAAATGTCCTTGAAGCCTATAATGTTTGTAATAGGTAGTTCCATTGCTGTAAATCTGTGTTGACAGGTGTAAGTTTATACTAATAAATTGATAACACAAGTAAGAAAAACAAACCCCAGCTCCAAAAACATCACATTAGCTACAGAACTAATAATATCAAGAAAAAAATCAGATCAAATGCTTTCTGACCATTTTCTCTCTTGATTAGACTGAATTGTGTATAGATGAAATTATAACACTTGGTATTTTCCTCACCTGTGTTTTTCACTTGTGGAATTTATTCATCACATCTCTCTATGATTTGTATATCTAGAGATAGGTTTTAAAGGTGAACTAAAGAATTAAACAAATATACAGCTATGGCAAGGCTTCACATTCTATCTCTGCACTGTGACACTTTAAACTTCCACAAGCTATATATCACCCAGTTTCCAGTTTCTAGGTTTCCTCTTAAGATGTGATAGCTCGGTAAGTGAATATTTTCTTGTTTTATGTCCTCCATACTAGATATCTTGAATCTTGAAAGAAGGGATTATATCTTGTTCATCTTTGGTCAGTTTCTATTAATAGTAGAATGTTTTGGCATCTAATAGGGTCATTTAATGAATACTGGTTGAATAAGGACAGATGTCTACTCTTTTGGAAAAGGGAATAGTTGTCTTTGAGGTGAGGTTGGGTGAAAAATGTAGGTATTAGTAAACTGAATTGACAGAAATCATTGAGAAAGTGGGAAAATGCCTGATATGATGTATGACATATTGAGTTTTATGTTTACCGAGTTAGGCAAAAACACCATTAAACAAAACCATTTTGGCATGGATCTTAAGGTTTTTTGACTTCTTAAGTTCTGGATGAGGAATAATTTTTTCTAAAAAATATTATCACTTAAAAATTCAGATTTATAAGAACAACTGCTTATACTTCTTTCCTAAAAATAGAAACCCTACAAAACCTTAATTATATGTATAGATAGCTAAACTCTGATGGCTCATATGCATACCTCATGGGTTATGTTGTTATCTCTATGTCTGGTAGGTGGAGGTGAAACAGCTAGGACACCAATCATCCCCTCGATCAACTGGACTACACTATTTTTTCAGACTGACTGGACTACAGTCTCCATCCTCTCCTCCTGCTCCACATGCTATTTGCCTGTTCCAGTTTCTTACTGCTACAGTAACAAATGATCACAAACACTCTGGCTTAAAACAGCACCCACAGTTCTGTATGTCAGAAGTCTTTGTAGGTTTAATAGGGTTCTCTGCTCAGGGTCTCCCATGGGCCAAATCAAGGTTTCCGTCAGGCTGGATTCTTTCTGGAGGTTCTGGGAATGAATCAGTTTCCAAGCCCAGTTAGATTGTTGGCAGAATCCTTTGTTTTTTGTTTTTTGTTTTTGTTTTTGTTTTTTGCAGTGTGGGACTGAGATTCCCATTTCCTTACTGGCTGTCAGCTAGGGTCCACTGTCTGCTACAAGGGCCCCTTGAGTCCCTTCTCATGTGGCCCCCTCCATCTTTCATCCAGCAGTGTTACACTGAATTCTTCTTCTGCTCTGACTCTTTCTGAATTTCCCTTTGCTTTCCTCCCTGTCATAAGCCAGAAAACGGTGTCTGGTTTTTAGGGCTTGTGTGATTATATTGTGCCTACCAAGATAAACCAATGTAATCTTCCCATCTTAAAGTCAACTGACGAGTAGCCTTCATTACATCTGCAAAGTCCCTTTTGTAATGTAACAAAACATACTCATGTGTGTGATATCCTATAGTTACAGTTTCTGAGGGGTAGAGCAGGACATTTTTAAGAGGACTTCTTAGAAATCCTGTCTACTGCACCCCCTAAAAAACAAACAAACAAACAACAAGAAAAACTTTGCCAAATAGAGGCCAGTGAGTCTTCCGTAGTGGGTATCTATAGCTAACAGCCCATTAGCAAAATGCTGCCACTTTGCATAATGCCCCAATGAATTCCTCTTAGGTCTATGTTTCAGAGTAGTTCTTGGAATTGAGACATTCTATAATATTTTATTAATATCAAAATAAATTACCTAGCTAACAGTAAGAGGACTAAAACTTAGGGTACATTTTCTGTGAATATATGAACTTTTCCATGCACACAAGGTATCAGTTAATTTTATGGTCCCTCAGCTATGTTACTGGTGCTTGTAACACGATGTGCCATGTAAATCCCTTTGAAAATGTCATACCATGGCGTAGCATTGAATAAGAACATGAATGCAGATGACTGTCCAATCCCAGGCAGTAGAATTAGGTGGTGGAAATAACCACTTGTGGATAAAGCTTCCTTTTTTTTTTTGTCACAAGCCAGAACAGTTTTCAGGAACAATTCATATTTCATGAAGAACTGTCACTGAATATCCACCATCATCATCAGCTTCCAGGTGACAGTCAAGAGAAGTTGTTTGACTTTTAGTAACTAATTCAACAAGGAAATAAAAAAACCAACAATTTTGATCACATGAGAAGCGCAGATTAAACACTTGAAATTATACTATCAATACTAAAGTTGCTGTATAGAAAAAGATTTGAAAGTATGGCTTAAAAAGTGTGGCATCGTGATGGTATGATGGCCAAAAGTGATGATGAAGAATCTTTGGACTTTTGAATTGGAAGGGCATTTATACTTAAACTGATTTTTTTTTTAATGTAAAAGGCATCTTCTAGATTTATTTTTGTTATGAGTGAGACAGAGCCAATTTATATATATAATATCCACATTACTCTTTATGAACTGTTTTCTGTTCATTTTCAAATAAGAGTTTTATTACTGATCAAACTGATCTTCATACTGAAGCATACAAGGATTACTAATTGTCTAGTATTTATCAGTTTGTTTTCAATTTAATTGTGTATCCATTGCCCCGAAAGGTGTTGTTAAATTGGTGTGTCTTACAGTTGATGGGAATTGAGAAGTGAAATAAGAGAACACAGAGTCACACATTAAAAGTGCCTAAAGACAGATACAGAAAGTAATTTACACTATTTTATACATTCCCCCCACCATTATCTGTTTTTCAAGCTTGTTTGTTTTTAGGGTATGTACTTTCATGGAAGAAAACCATGCAATGGTTTGGAATGAGAAAGGAATTTTATAATAGTAAAGAAGGCATTATCCTGATTTATTAAAATTTAAAAATAAACTGTAAGTGGTGTAATATGGATGATTGAATACTGACCTGAGAAGCAATTTCCATATGTAACTTTTAATGACATTGATATTATGATCATTGGTGAGATACTGTATTCTGCATACGTTTTTCTCTCTGCAATATTGGAGATGATGGAATCTTCTTTACATCTTCCCGCATGAGACTACTTGTAAGAACAAAGGTGGTTGGTGCTTATTTAATGCACCAAGCTCTTTTGTAGGGCACCTTTAAATCACTATTTTGATTTAATTCTGAATCAACTTTATTGTTGAACTGGGAAATCATATTTTAACATGAACTTGCAAATAGTCCAATGCTTCACTCCCAATTCATATTTCAGCATCCTTCACTGAGGCAGGAAGCAGAGTCAAGCTGTTGCCATGAAGCTTGTTTCAAGAGCTCAGAAATCCTCCAGGGATCCTTTACTACTGCTTTTCAAAGAGGCCTTTTTTTTTTTTCTCTTCTCCTTTTCCTGCAAAGAGGGTTATATCCAGTACTCAAGGACATGGTAAGGCCAACAAGGACTGGAGGAATCTCCAGGACTATGATCTCTTGAATTGTGAAATATGACATTCTGATTGCTAGCTTGCCTTTCTTCCCACTCCACCAAATTGTAATACTTCTTTTCATGCTACAGTTTTGTAAAACTCTACTGTATAATAGAAATTGTCTATTCATTTTTAAAGAACTACACTCCCAGATCAATTGAAATTTGTTTTGTTTTAAGTCTTCTGTGTAAAGGCTCATCAAATTCTCATTAAAGTAACATTTTTGGACTATATTATCTGTTCAAAGATCTTAATTGACATAAAAATTTCCTAATTAATGAGCACCAAAAAGTGTCTTAATCTGTCAGTAAAGTTGACTTCTACTTCAAATATGTAATGTTTAAATTTTTTTTCCTCTGTAAGGTAGGAGCCAAGGATAAAATATTTTTTAAAAAGTTAAAAAAGCATGTATTGATATTGCTACTGCTAATTATAGATAGGGATGTAGGTCCAAAATTAGTACATGGATTTAATGTATTTTCAGTAAAGTTAGGAATAAAGTAACACCACATATTTCATTTTATTTGAGGTAGCCAAGAATAGCTATTTTCCTTTAGAAACTTCAACAAAAGGAAGCTTTTCAACTTCACAGCATTCTTAGGGAAATATAACTGTCTTGTTTCATAGAGGATGTGGAATAAGAGAAAATAAGCTATTTTTTTTAAGGAGGCAAAAGGAGGCAGACTTTGTCAATTATATTTATGTTCAATCCAATAGATCATAAGATTTTTTTCTGAAAAGAATATTAATCTTATTCTACATGGATTATCAGGCTAAGGCTGAATATATGCTGTGGAAACAGAAATATGTGTGAAGGGATGTATGAAACCACAGAATAAATGGAATCCACTTTCTTGAAGTAGCTACAATTCTACCTGAGGGTAAGTAATTAAGTATTTTAAAATGCAAAAAATGTATATATTATGAGGTAGAAGCTAAATTTTCATTTTTAGGATAAAATGTTCAAATTCAAAGGGATTTTCAGCATGTGGGGAAGCAAGTCTGACGCAGGCGTTATGTGTTTTATTGTGCTCTGAAGCAAAAGGTTTTTCAGTGGTGAAGCTTAAGAAGGCCGATCTGCATGACAGGGAAATTTAGTGTTTGCACAAGAATTAACTAATATGTTTTTCTATTGTCTGAAAAGGAAAATAATGCTTGGCTTCAGGTCTTTGGAAGTACTGCACATTCGGGCTAAGAGTGAGATGACCATTTTCTCATTTTCAACTAATTATTTCAAGATACCAAAACAAAACAAATAAATGCCACTTGGGAGTACCTGCTATATACAAAATGAGCTGTATGTAGTGAAGTGGCCAGGAAAGGCAGAATTCACAGCCATAGGTAGGGCAGGCCCTGGCCACCCTTTAGGGGAGCAAGAAAGGTAAACCAGGTGGATGAAACATATCCTATAGCATATTGTAATTGGTAAGTGGATGCAAGTGGTTTCTTAGCAAGTTGGAGGCATCGGGCGGTCTAAAAGAGGTAAGAAGATTTTATTGATAGAGAGGTGGAGCAAACAATGAGGTGTCTGGGAGGAAGCATTTGAAGAGCTGCAAGGAGGTCTGATTTATGGTAGAAAAACTGAGTCCCCAGGAACTGGGGAAGTGACTGGCAAGAAGAGGACAGGGCTTCTAGTCTAGGGGAATCAAGGCATAGGACATATTGCTTACCTAGAGATTCAGTCAGGGGTATGGGATCAAGCCTGGGTATAGCTTTTGGAAGACTGCTTACTTGATTGGGTTGGCGTGAGACTAACAGCAAGTGTGATTTGTTGCTGACCCTTCAGTACTGACCTGAGTAGCTTACAACAGTTACCCTGTCTAAGAAGGAGATTGATTCCAGAACCCAGCATAGAGAGGCAGATGGTGGTCTCATGGGTTCAGGTAAGGAGTAAGGAAAGTCACTGGCCCTTCTCCAAGTGCTGTGCAGGTGCAAAAGTTATTTAATTTTCTGCTTCTCTCTTGAATGAATATGCTACCTATTTGGTGGTATAACACGTAAACACATTCATATTAAATGTCAATACATGCTTTAATGTTTTAATCAATGAATGTACTAAATAATTTAAATTTACAAGGGATTTTGGAAACAGATCCAGCTTTAAGCATGGCAGGAAATTGATATTTGGACAAGGAATGTTAGCACATTCTTAGGTCATACTCAGATTTAAGGTAAGACTATTCTATTTTTCAAACCAATCTAGAGGTATAAAACCAAGTCTAGTTAGAATGAGAATACTAAATTAAAAATAAGTTTGTTAGAATGGAATTCAGATATTCCATGTAGAACTGTGGGATGAAGTGCAATCAGCTGTAACTGGTTGGAATAAGGACCTGCCTTGTCCCAGAGAGAGTTAGAGAATCTGTTCCAACAAGGACAGAAGGTCCAGTTGGGAAGAGCTCTGGAAAACAAAACTCTCTGACAGCACAGTTTAAAGCTCTTCTGGCAGTAAGCACGTCCTTCCTTATGCTAGAGTCGAGCTTAGTGTGGGAATCAGGATCCAAACACAACTCACCCCCTTCCCTGCCCCATTCAGTTGCTGCTCTTGGGATGTAGCATGCTGCCTGCTGCAGCTGAGTCTGTGTTTTGCTCATGCCTGGCAGTAGCTGCTTGGAACCTCGCCTCTGGAAGCTGATGATTTCAAGTGTCCAGACCTGTCATGATGCTGTCCAGGAGAGGGGTCAGGCTGTCATCGTCTATTAGGCAGCCCCCAGCTGACACATGCAAGACCAGTTACTGAGTGCCTTTTGCTCTCGAGCTTTGGATTTGCATCTCTTGCTAGGAATTGGGATAAGACACACGTTCAGAATCCAAATTGAGGCATTCAGTTGCTCTCCTATGCCCTTGGTTTAACCTGTTTATTCATTATCTTGTGGTTTGGGCAGAATTTGCAAAGATTTTACAATTTCATGAACTTGCATGGAACCATCACTTTCTTCAGAAGGACTTTTCCATGGGTCATAAAAGCTGAGCAGCTGGGCACTGTCTCCTCATATTCGTTGACAAGGAATTTAAGTAAACTGGACGCAGCTAATCTTTCTTACTTGGGACCTAGTTTGAGTGTACTCCATTCTTCAGCAGAAGAATATCAGGCCTGCCTCTGAGTGCTCCTTTTGCCATAAATCATGTACATGACCATACCTTTACGAGAAACTAAGACAGATCCTGACGTTTACATCATGGAGTTATGGAGTTTTACCTAAATCACTTCTTGCTGTTACTCTGCTGTTGACTTTTTGTCACTGTTGTAATAACTAGGCTTCAATTTTGTGGAAAATTTTGACAAAATGATTTTTTTCTTCTGCTCTTCTGGGTGCTCCTATCTTTGTTTTTTGTCCATACCCTCACTCTCCAGAATGGGGGCCCAGTATGATTATGTAGTGAGTATTTATTTATAGATGTCACTTACCCACTTTGCCTTCTTCAGTAACCGCATCCCATGCCTTCCCCACTTGCAGGGATGGAACACATGACCCAGTTCTGTCATTCATGTTTACAAGCCCTTGTCATTGGTTTAAGGCTAAGCATGTGACACAAGAGGTTTCTATCAGAGTCAGAAGGAGAGCACTTTTGTAGGATCTACCAGGAAACCCATGCTTTAGTTTATGCAGGCTAAGATAGAAGAAGCTGCATGTTCTAGAGCTTCAGTAACCATTTCTGTGACATTGAAGGTGACTCTTAAAAAATGAAACCAATATATAGAGGAGAGTAGAGCCAAGTAGAGGAGGACAGATGGAGAACATTTGGTAACATCATTTGGGTCCTTTCGAGCAACCATGTCTTAAGCCAACTCTGAGGCAGTTTCTACTTTGCTTAAACAAATTTGCATTGAATTTTCTGTATCTTCAATTTTGAAAAAAGCTTCTGCCAGTGATTAGAGTCTTGGCTGAGAGTTTCAAAAAAAACGTGGCTGGGCTTAGCTACTTACTGACAGCCTGCTTGATACCACCTGTGGCCTGGTTCGCTGACCATCCCTACCCACTTTCATATTTTCTGTGCTGGGTTTATCCCTATTGGACCATCCTGATATTTCATATTCAACCCTGATGCTCTTTCACAATCTGGATAAAATTCCAAGACATAGTAGCTATGTTGCCCCCCATGAGTATTTTAAAAAGTCTTAATAACTCAACCAATAAATTGTCTCTTTAATAACTCAAAGTGGGGAAGTTTCAAGGATTTTCACATAACTAACCCTGGGATCATAAATGTTTTAAGGTCAGTGGCTCATTAGTTTTTCCTTTTCTATTGTGGATGTTGTTATATCATTTTACTTTCTTTGATAGTGGCCTTTATGACATTTTACTTGGCTGGCAGGCAACAGAGTAACTGCTTTTAAATATAAGAGATGATGAAAGAGATTTCTGTAATAGATTTTACTATAATGGGATCAGAATGGCAGGGAGGGCAGAGAAGTTAGAGGCAAGGCAGCCACATTGTTCTCATTGCCTATAGGTAAGTATTTCATGGTTTTCTGAGAAACTAAAGATGACCTGAGAAGTAGGACTTAAAGAAAGCATATTGAGCTCAGTAAACTCTTAAGACTCTGGTGATAAGATGAGCAAAAACAGGCCTAAGCATATTCTCCTATAGACCATGGACTTTGTGAGAATGGGTGTTGGTTCTGGGAGTTGGGCTGAGGCTCAATCTATGTTCCAGAACCAAGGACAACTTTAAACCTTATAGGAATACTGAAAATGCCCTGTAGGGACAGTTTCCGTTCTACTCCATGTGTTAAAAGTGCCTCTTTTAATCCTAGTTAGACTCTTTTAATTGGAATGATCTTTCCTCAAACTCTTCCTCTGTAGTGTTTTTTTTTTTTTTTTTTTTTTTTTTTTTTTTTTATCCTGAAGGGATAAACAGTCTTCGTGGGTTAAAACAAAACAAAACAAAACAAAACTCCTTACGGCGAATTGAGAAGCAACTGAAGTCTTCTTCATTCCCTCACCTCTTTCCTGATTGCTTCCACCTCTTTCTTTTGCCCTATACCAAGGTCTTCTCTGCTTTTTGATTCTGATCCATTATGTGAAACATTTAAGCCTCAGTGATAACAAAGTAGCTAGGAGAGAAGCTTGCAATATGAGGGGTAGAGGGGTCCCTGGGTAAGTGGGGTGGCAAGGGCTTGATATTCTTAACGGAGAAAGTCTTAACAGACAATATGAAATATAAAGAGTTTTGAGAAAAGGATGGTCATTATGATTTGAATAGAGAAAATGAGAAGAATGTTTTTGAATTTTTGCATTTTGGAACATTTGCATGTATATGCATATAATGGATATCTTTGGGATGAGTCCCAAGTCTAAACACAGAATTCGTTTATGTTTCATATATATCTTATACACAAAGCTTGAAGGTAATTTTATTCAATATTTTAAATAATTTTGTACATTTGTCACATGAGGTCAGGTGTTGACTTTTCTACTTGTGGCATCATGTTGGCACTCAAAAAATTTTGGATTTAGGAGTGTTTCAGATTTTGAAGCATTTCAGATATAGGATTTCAAATTAGAGATGCTCAACCTGTACTAGGAAGATGGGCCAGGTAGAGACAAGAGTCTACCTTTGTTTAATCGAGCTAAAGGTTTGTCAATTTTGTTTATCTTAAAAAAAAAATCCACCTTTTTTTGTTGATCTTCTAGACTGCAATTTTTAGTCTCAGTTTTGTTCTTTTGAAAAGATAAACAAAATTGACAAACCTTTAACTAGATTAATAAAAAAAGAGAGATTACCCAAGTAAGTAAAATCAGAGAAGAAAAAGGAGACATAATAACTGAGACCACAGAAATACAAAGAACCATTAGAGACTGTTATGAAGAACTGTATACCAACAAATGGGAAAACCTAGAAGAAATGGGTAAATTCTGGTAAATGTACAACCTAA